TTGCCTCCCCAAGATCGATCGAGATTCCTGCGCTGTCATCTCGCATTTTCTTAGAGCAGCAGCAGTCACTAGTCTAATCATCCCGCTACTACTGAGTGCCCCACGTCGTCAATCCATTAAATCCTGTATTCGCGGTGAATACCAGAAACCCCAATACTGATCAGAAAATATGCATTCCGCGGACAATACCATCCCAGATCAACAAGCATAAGTACATGGTGGTGTTGGTGACAGTGGGCTAGAAGGACGCCATGCCATGCCATGCCATGCCATGCCATGCCATGCCAGTTGGGCCGACCGGGTTTGTCGTCGAGATCCCACGTCACTCCGTCATCCATGCGGCCATGCCCCTCCAAAAGCCCGAAAACCTGATATCCTTCAGATGCGCTTTTGTACCACCACGCAAATCTCAGCTGCGCATCCCACCACGGTCCCTGGGATGGGAAAAGCTATCCCAGGACCAATTCCTCCGTCAGTGCAACAGCTGTTGCATATGCCCCTCGCGTAGCCGGATCGCGGGGCCAAGACCAGCTCACCATCGGAAAGCCCGCTAGCGCGGTATGGTATCTTTAGGCGAAACTATGGCCCAAAGGTACTTCTGCACGTTAGCGTTGTCGATCATCGAGCGCGTCCGTCAGCTCTGCGCATCGACGTCACAGCAGCTGATCGACACCATTCTACGCGCGTCTAACAGCCGGGCCTTATCCTTGATAATTTCAAGCACGATGCATGCCATCGTGTCTTGTAGCTTCATTCAAGTTCACACTATTAAATCAAAAACTGGCTATCGACTGAGCGTGTATAGTAGGACAAGACGAAGAAATTGGCCCGTCAAGCCTCGAACCATCACCACCGCATGCCCTTCAACTCTTCACGGCCAAAGGCTCGACGTTCCAGATCGACTCAGCATACTCGTTAATGCACCGATCACTGCTGAAGAAGCCCATACGTGCCACCGACACGATGCACTTGGCAACCCACTCGTCCTGGTTGCGGTACGCCTCATCCACGAGCTTGTGCGTCTCAATGTAGCTGTGGAAGTCATCCGACACGAGGTAGTAGTCCCCATGGTGTCGCACGGCTGCCACCATGGCACTGAAGTCGTGCGGTGTCCCAAAGGTGCCCTTCTCCATCTCTTCAAAGACCTTGTTCAGGTCAGGATCGATCGTGTGCGAGCCGTAATTGTGCGCGTGTCGCAGATCCTCCACGTCCTCAGCCAGATTGCCGAACAAGAAGATGTTGTTGTCGCCAATCTCGCGGGTGATCTCAATGTTGGCGCCGTCGCAAGTGCCGATGATAAGCCCGCCATTGAGGACGAACTTCATGTTGCTCGTGCCCGAAGCCCTGTGCGGTGTTAGTCAGAGGTCTCGCTGCAGTTTGAGCAAACACTTACTCTGTTCCGGCTGTCGAGATATGCTCGGAAATATCCGAAGCTGGCGTGATGATCTCGGCCTTGCTGACATTGTAGTCCGGCAAGAAGATGACCTTGAGCAGGTCGCCAATATCTGCATCGTTGTTGACCACCGAGCCGACGGCGTTGATCAGGTGGATGATCTGCTTGGCCATCCAATACCCAGGAGCTGCTTTACCGCCAAAGACAGACACCCGGGGAAGCTGCTTCTTTCTCTCCTCAGGGCTCATGGCCTTGAGGGTCAAGTATCGATGGATCACACCGAAGATGTTGAGCTGCTGGCGCTTGTACTCGTGGATACGTTTGACCTGGATATCAAACAGAGCAGCCGGGTTGACAGTCACACCTGTCAGCTCTTTGATGAGCTTGGCCAGTCGTACTTTGTTGGCGTACTTGATCTCAGACCACTCCTTCCGGAACTCTTTGTCCTCGGCCAGGGACTCGAGCTTGTTCAGCTTGGTCAAGTCCTTCAAGAAATCGTTGCCACCAATCTTGGAGGCAATGAGCTCGGACAAGCGAGGGTTGGCTTGGTGCAGCCAGCGACGCGGCGTAATACCATTGGTGACGTTGGTAAACTTGTCCGGACCGTAGATTTCGACAAAGTCTTTGAAGATCGTCGTCTTGATCAAATCTGAGTGGAGCTCGGCAACACCGTTCACCTTGTGAGAACCGACGATCGCAAGGTACGCCATCCGCACCATCTTGGGCTGCGACTCCTCGATGATGGACACCCGCCTAAGGATATCGCGATCGTTGGGGAACTGCTTCTCGACTTGCTGGAGGAAGTAGAGGTTGATGTCGTAAATGATCTGCAAGTGTCGAGGCAGTAGATGCTGAACGAGGCCTACGGGCCACTTCTCCAAAGCCTCGGGGAGAACGGTGTGGTTGGTGTAGCCAAACGTACTGGTTACAATGTCCCAAGCCTCTTCCCATTCCAGGCCCTCGATGTCAACGAGAATACGCTGTAATTCAACAATGGCCAGCGTCGGGTGGGTATCGTTGAGCTGGATTGCGACCTGGTCAGCAAACTGCTTCCAAGGACGCTTCGACTTCTTGAAGCGGCGAACAATGTCGTGCAGCGAGGCGGCCACCCAGAAATACTGCTGCTTCAGGCGGAGCTCCTTGCCTCTCTCGAGATTGTCGTTGGGATACAATACGGCACTGATGGTCTCAGCGCGCTGCTGGTCGGCGACGGAGCTTTCGTAGTCGCCATTGTTGAACTTTTGAAAGTCAAACTCGCCGCCGGAGGCCTTGCTCGACCATAATCGGAGATTGTTCGTGGTAGACGTGTTGTATCCAGGGATGGGAACATCATAGGCGACGGCTTGCACTATCTCGCCGCCCTCCCAGATTGCTACCTCCTTGCCTTGCTCTTTGGATTCCTTGCGGACGTTGCCAAAGAACTGGATATCGACCGTCACGTCATGACGAGGAAATTCCCAGGGGTTGAAGTCAAGCCAGTAGTCGGGCACTTCGACCTGATACCCGTCGATAATCTCCTGCTTGAAGATACCGTACCGGTAGCGCAGGCCGTAGCCCCAGGCGTGAAAGTCCAGAGACGCCAAACTGTCCAGGAAACAAGCTGCCAGGCGACCGAGACCACCGTTGCCCAGCGCAGCGTCGTTCTCCTGCCCAATGATATCCTCGATGCGGAAGCCGAGCTCAGAGAGGCCGGCCTTGGCGGTGTCCTTCTGGCCAATATTGAGCATCGCATTGTCCAAGGCACGACCCATGAGGAACTCCAGACTCAGGTAGTACACACGCTTCGAGTCCCTGTACGTCTGGTTCTGCTGGGTCCGATTCCAATCAAGGATCAATTGGTCACGGAACGCCAGACTGGTGGCCGAGTATGCCGCCTTCTCATCGCAGTTGAACATGCTGCGTGCAAGTGTGGTCTCAACATGGCGGACCAGCTCCTTCTCGAAGCCGTCCTTGCCGCGGAAGCCTTGAGCTTGGGCACGTTTCCATGCTTCACGTTGAGGCTCAGGAATCGAGGCTTCGACACTCTTGATCTCACCTGGTCCCAGACCAGTTATAGTTCGTGTGTGCTTGGGACGCGAGATGCCAGCGGGGCCGACGGAGCCCTGGATATCGACGATGGGAGCTCCTGAGGAGGGACGGCGTTGTCGAAGGGGGATGCGCTCCGGCTGCGAGTTCTGTCCAGCGGGCGCCATGTTTTCTGGTACTTCAGCCATCTTGGTCAACTTTTCTGTCCTAATCGGAGAAGATGCGTAGGCTTGAGAAGTGTAAGACGTCGGGGAATGGCTATGGCACTTACTCCCGTATTAACCACCCAACGAGTTCCCCTTCGCTCTGAGCTCTCAGACGCCGAAGTTGGTAAGTCGAGGTGGGGCAGGTGGGGGATCTCTCAATTCGCGGGGCAGCGTCCACCTAAACGAAGCTTGACAGGCCAGGGATCCACGCTGATGCAGCTGGGCGAGCGCGAGTTGATGGTCGAGACCTCGGAGAGCTGGGGATGAGGGAGGGAGGAGGTGACTGCTCGTAGTTGATTAGATATGGCAGAAGCTTACGACAGAGAAAGACGGAAACAAGAGCGAAGAAAGGCAGATGGACTCGGATGACTGCCAGTGGGTATTAAAGAGGACACTGGAGCTCGTAGCCTGAGAAGTGAGGAATGGGGTGGGCAAAGTCAGGCCATTCTACTATGCACTTTCCTTGCATCCAATAACCAGCATGCCAGGCTGCATCCGACATGAACCAGACCTTGCGGGCTTCGCCATGCTCAGCAGTGATACGAACTGGAAACCGGCCAACGGGTGTCCAGTCTGCCCGCAGATGGCACGGGTGAATGTCTGGGTGCTGCATCAACGCGCAAGAGTGCAGTCGTCACAGTTGCACCATCCACTCCCCAGCTTCGATCGTGTCTTGTCCATCGTGGATGGCCAGATGCATTGGCGAGCGAAGCTGCAGATGCGAGTTGCTGGGCGAGTCTAGGACCGTTCAATTACATCCATCTCTGCTAATCAGAACCCAATGGACCACATCCAAGTCCGCCAATGTCTTGCCCAATCTCCAAATAATTCCCCGCGCCGCATCGGTCGAACCTTGACCACCCAGTCTCAGGCTATTGAGCGCACGTGTGGAACTCCGTGAACCTCACGCTGCACCACAGTCGATAATTCATATACCTGCCTCCGCCCGATAGTTGGCAGCCGTAAGACCCATTCAGCACGCAGCAACCGCTTAGTTACCACCCTGTATGCATGGACAAAGTCGAGAGCATCCCGTCCCCCGCATACATTTCCTCGATCTGAGCCTATGGTGCCGATGAACATGTACGCAAACTAACGCATGTACGAGCACGGCGGGCGACTCCGCAGATGCCGGTTGACCACAAGCGCTAGCGACGAATCACCAAAGTAGCATGTCGATGCGGTGTCCCATTGTGTATCAAGATCCCTTGTTTCCATGGTTGCTCTGATTGCGTTGCTGCTTGGTACGGTAGACTAGATCAAGGCCTCACAATAGCCCCATGACCTCGCCTGCAGAAGGACCCAGTTCGCTTCCCAGCCACCAGGAAATGGTGCTTGGCCGTAACACCACATCTCTCGATTCGAACCCAACAACTCCGCAAGCCATACAGCATTAATACACTTGATACCTCATTTCTGCTGCAATGACGCAACAATAATGTCCCAGCACGCCGCGACAACCCACGTTACGTCTGACTTCTGCGACACAGTCTCTCTGATGATATGTGATCATATGTGACCCTATGCGCCAACACATTGGTATAATTCGAGACGCTGGCTCCCGAAGTCACTGCGCCCAACGCCGATACGTGCACGCTCCATGCCCCTGGGGCGATTCCGCGTATAAAAGCAAGAAGAAGAGAACCCAATCGCTCGTAAAATGTCTTCGTTCACAAAATACCTGAATCCCTTAGGGCGTTATTGAGAATCGTCTCCTTGACCGCCGCGAAAACAAGCCGAATATTCGATGTGTCGGTCGCTTGCGTAAGACTGGTGGGAATTAGCTGGATCATTGAAAGAGAAAAGAACCGAGATGCCAACATACTGTGGGTAGAGGTTGAGGTGAGCCCTGTTGACCTGATTGAACCGCCACAGCAAATACTTGGCGGCCTTGTTCACGTCGCTGCCGCCCGAGTAATCGGGGAAATAGTTGCCCAATGGCGACCGCCCCAATTTTTGTTTGAAGATGTCGACCTTGTTTAGAAACAGGATGATGCTCGTTCGCATAAACCATTTCGAGTTGACGACGCTATCAAACAACAGGAGACTTTCCATCATTCGGTTCTGCGACAGTCAGCATGCATCCGGTGCAGCGCGAGCTCAGCAACGCACCTGACTGCTCTCCTCGAGCAGGACTTGGTCGTATTCGCTCAGAGCAACGCAAAATATGATAGATGTGACGTTCTCGAAACAATGAATCCACTTTTTGCGCTCAGAACGCTGGCCACCGACGTCGAACATACTACCACTTGTCAGCTCCGCGCCTTGCGCCGTCGGATTATCACTCACTGTATACTAAGCTGGCCCATTTGAAAGCGCGTCTCGTATATCCCCGTGGTCTTTGTTCGCGCGCGTAGGACATCCATCTCTGTGGGAAGATAGTCGGGCGCGACGATGCGATCCGCTTCTTGGAAAAAGCTGTTGAACAATGGTCAGCGGAGAATCTAAGCCAAGCCGCGGTCGCCTCACTATTCGGCCGAGTCCATCAGGTAGAACTCGGTTTGGTGATCCATGAGCAGGTTCTTGGCCGGGTCATTCCAGATGGCCTGCACAGCAGCACCTACTTGCGGCTCAATGTGCGCCTGAGGGCCGGACTCGGTTTGGTAATCTAGTAGATAGTCGGCATGAGCCTGGTTGCCTTCCCGTTGCGGCTCAATGTTGAATTGCTGCATGGCGTTGATGACGGCCTTTGCGCATTCCACGAGATTCTTGAAGACGGTCGGTCGATAGTTGTAGAGCTCTTCCTCGGAGTATCCTTTGAGATGGATGATCTTCATCTGCTTCACAATGGTCGACTTGCCGCTCTCGCCCGAGCCTATGACATTGCGGTCAGTACGTGAGTAGAACGAGCAGTCTGCGCGTGGACCTACCCAACAGGAGAATCTTGCATTCCTTCCGTAACTTCTTCGAGTCCTCTTCCAAAATCTTGTCTATGTGTTGACTCTTCTTCTTCTGTTCCGCCTCCTCATTGCTGGTGCTATTGCAGATGCCCATGTTGACTGCGGTGCACCCTGCGGGGTCTCGGGGTTCGATTCCTCTGATGCAAAGGTAAGGTATATAGTTGCGACGAGTGATTCTTCAATCGCAAAGCTGTCTTGGTCACAGGCGCATGGCCTGCCAATTGGTTATTGCTCTGTGAGCAGGCGGTAGAGCTCCGGCAAGCGGCGGGAGGCCCGGTAGCAGTGCAACGGGGGAGAGATGTCGTCGACGGCTGGAGGTAGGTACTCGAGTACCACGCTGGCGCTCGTGTCGGGGATTTCGGTAGCCGCAAAGTGTCGCAATGAATGTGCGCGCCGATAGTTGGTTGTGAGCAATGGCAGTGATGATGCCGGGGCGCAGGTTGAGGGGCCCTTGACGGTTGGGGAGCCCGGTGGACGGTTGGAGAGTTGGACGTGGGAATGGGGGTCGAGGGTCGCCAAAGGCAAGACTGGAGCAATGATGACAAGTCGTCGGCGACGGGCACCAATTGGCATCGAGGGTGCGCGGTGTGGAGGCGTGGCCGGGGCAAATGCTTGAGTCCAGCAGCTAACTAGGGAGCCGGCTCGATATGTTGGCCTTGGAAGAATGGAAACAATGTGGATGCAGCGCTCGATGATCCCGTGACGTTTGCCTTGGGATGGGTCAGGTCAATTTCGCCTCGACAAGAATAACCAGACAATTCGAGGAAGAAGCAACGCGCGCAGGTGAGGTGGGAATTGCGATGGATCAATTCAATGGAAGCCCCCGTCCGAGGCGTGGGCTGGAAACAGGAACCCACAGGCATGAGGTAGGGTCACGTCGGTCAGGGTCGGGATGAGGCGGGGGGTCATACATGCGCCTTGCTTTATACTGGCTGGCTATGAGAATCTCTTCATGCCTCTGCGAACGTCAGGCCACAATAGCACGTTCAAATGGACGCGTGTTATAGATTTCCCATCCACGGCTATTAGCCTTCGGTAAGACCGACGGGTCTTAGATTCACTGGTGCTGGAGGGTTCGAAAGCACATGGGCCAGGTTGGGGATGCATTTCAGGGGATGCCAGAGGCTAAAAAGAGGATGGTGGCCCCCATCTTGGACTGGAGGCTGGAGCTGCACCTTCCTAGATTCGGCCCCGGCAGGCAACACTGGCAGATCGTACCCTCTCGCAAATCAATTAATCCATCAATACAGCACAGTTGGCGCGGCTGGAATTCAAAATGATACATCCTGTGAAGATTCCTTGCCTTGGCCTCAGCTCACAAGTTATCTTATTAACACGTAGACCTCCCTTCATAGGCGCGCGCGCGCTGTGGCGCCTCATGCAGCGGCCCCTTATCTGCACGTGTAGTAGTAAACCGCCTCGCGACGAATGGCGTCGCCCTCAGGAGCCACGCGCGCTGCCTGTCACTATTACCACGTACGCCATTCAGAACCAGAACGAGGACCACAATGGCCACAGTCGACAGTCTATTGTCTCGTGCGCGGGACGGTGCACGCACTCTCAATGGTGGTTTCCACATCCGGCAATTCCATAATCTTCAACAAAGGGCGCTCGAGGTCCCATCAGGCACCTGCTTCAACGCAGCGACCATCTTGTCTCAGATTCGGATGTCTGAGCTCTGGGTCGCTTGTCTCGGTTCGAAGCTTGTACCATACGCAAGAGCGCAGCTGGGCGCGCGCAGTGAGAATCATCATTGCGGCCTGTTGCTTTTTATGGGAGCACAACGTTCATCAACAAGTCGCTTATAGCAGCATCCTTGCCTGCCTGAGCCAGGTGAGCGTTGAAATGAGCTGCGCTGGGTGCCCTGAACCCTGCTTCACTGTGAATTACTTATTACCCATGGCTGGATATGGCGCCTCGGATTTCAAGGAGTCATGCGATAATTACTTACTCGAGCAAAAGTGCAACGACTCACGTGAAGCTACGAGTAGGTAAGTCTTGTTGACCTCCTATTGAAGCTCTGTGGTATTTATCATTCGATTGTTGCCACAGTCGTGTGCCACCACCCCGTCACTCGCAGCCTCTTCGGTCGCTGCAGCTAACTTCGCACGTAGCCGGGAATTGCACAATTGCATCGCCTGCGCTTTTCTCCGTCGAGTACCTCGTGGAGCTGGCGCTAACAATTGACTTTGGGCTGCGTCGTTTGAAGTAGTATCGCCTTTTGTCGCGTGGCGGTCGTTTGGGATCACATGCATGAGCCGGGCCAGATCTGAGATCGACTACACGTGGCTGCCCACCTTGACAAAGAAAGGGTGCAGGAGTAGCTCCAGGCTCGATTCATGCCCACGCGCAGTTTTGCATGTTTTTAACTCTGTGATATACGGAAGCATAGCACTTCTCGAGGATCGACATGGTGATTACTCATCAATTCAGACAATGCGCCTGGGTAATCGGACGTCCACGTCCACCACAATGAAGGGGCACGGCACATCATCACCTCAGCCTTCACATGAAGGAACAACAGCCACTACCGATGCAAAACAGCGCGACGAGAAAGTTGGTGCTGAAAAGCGTCCTGATACCGACGTGCTTGTCTAGTGATTCGGAAGCTCAGATCCAGATGAGTTTGGTGACTTTGGTCTCCTCGCGCCTCGAGCCATGATCACCATATCTTTGTTCTCTGACACAGCCTTGATCAGGGTAAAGTCAACCTCAGCCAACTCAGCATCTTATCCGCAGAAAATTTTTGATTGGATCTGTTCAGGTCTTTGTCTCCCAGCGCGAAATGTCTTGCAAATACATGTTCCTACCATCGCCAGCGCGCCTTGATTCCGTCCATGGGTATCTCGTCCATATTTTACTCCCCAAAAGCCAGTCCATATGCTCCCAAACGCCAATAGAAATAACAGCCTCCAAAAGACAGGATTCAGTCCAGACTCAGGTCCAAATCACCTGCACCGTAAACAGACTCGTGCCACGTGCCGCAACAGGGGCAGAGGTCCTCGTCTTCGTCGAAATGCTCCCGGCCAGTGCGTCGATCAAACAGAACCCAATCACGAGACTCCTCATCTCGACTGATTGGCACTCGCTTCCAGATGTACTCGTCGAGGGGCATACATGTCTCTGGGCACCCTTCTTCCGGTGGTGCTGGAGGGGCAAATCCTTTATGCGAGTGGCCCTGGTTGTACCACGCCGTCATCTCTCCGTCAAACCCCAAGAGGTCATCCTCGTCGTCACTAAAGTCCTCCATTGCGGCACGCACAACACGAGGGGCCCAATAGTAACCTCGCAGTGGCTGCAGCTGTCCTGCCGAGGGTGCCCAGTATGCTGCGATGCCGTCCATGAAGAGACCCTCGTCTTTGAGCATACCGCTGAGTTCTGCGTTTGCTCTGCTTCCAATGTCGCCGTCGGGCATTCCAGTGATCTGCAGCTCGTTCAGTGTGCAGCCGAATTCGTGCGATGCAACGTCATGAAGTTCGGCGCCGGATGGCGGCAGGTATCGATCTGTAAAGTTGACGAGGTCTATGCGCATGGAGGTTAGGTTCGGTAGAAGATTCGGTCTGGGCTTATCTTTATGTCGAAAGTTGATGTCAAAAGGGCCACGCAATGCCTGAAGAAAGTCGACAACTTGGGTCCAGGCGTAGGATCGAAGCCCCCCTCGAACAAGTGCAGCCTCCTTAGGTCGTTGGGCGACCTTCAGCTTCATGTCCCTCTTCAATTCGGTGTGGTATGCGGCAGGCAACTTCAACTTCCGCGCTTTTTGGTCATCGTAGTACCTAGCAATGACACGAATAGTGATGTGACGGATGTCCTCGCGAAAGCCAGCACTTAAAGCACCAAACGTCGTGAGTGCTTGAGGTGTCGTGAAAACAAACGTGTTTGAATTCCAGAAGAGTTTGGTGCCCTCCACATGAATCGCTTTGCAAGTGGCGAGAAAGTTGATGGCAACTTGATTCCCCCGATCCTTCTCAGCCTCGGTCAAGTGAGCCGGATTAGATGGCGACAACGGATCGAGAATCGGGTGCTGACTCTGCACAGCAAATTTGAGAACGCGTAAAACAATCTCAGCCGGTAGATATAGGCCGCCGCTCTTCTGTGGGTTGCTTATGGAGGACCTCGTCTTGCGCTGAGTGCAGCTTCCCTTACCAGCCAAAAAAGCCTGGGAGGCGGGGGACCAGGAAAGGGAGTGCGAAAGCAAGATTCTCTTCAACCTAGTATTCTCCTCGGCGAGCCTCTGATTTTCTATGCGCAGAGGATGTTTGAAGGCAACTTGAGCCAGGTCCTCCTTGTCACGGCAGTCGTGTGCCATCGGCGTGTTCTACAATTGTCAGCACGGGGTCCAGCACACTGCAACAGAAACGCACCAGATGAGCTGACATGCTGATAGGGGAGTGGCATGAGGTAACTCAGTGGCACAGGACGAGGTGCTTTCAATCATATGAGAGAGGAAGAAAGTTGTGGTGATGCGTGAAGCGTAGAGGGGCAGGGCGCAAACAATTGGCAACAGCGGGCCATCGATTTGCCACCATCAAGGTTCGCGGTCCAGATCCAAGTGTCCGTGGCAATCGCGATAGGGTGTTTTGGATGCGACGCCGCAATAATCAGAAGGTGAGGGTTTGATGAGATGGCAGCGGCTACGTACGTACAGGGAAAGAGCGCACCTGCCGGTTGTCAAACGGGCTACTCCGAGTGTCGCTTGAATGAAGCTTACCCTAAACCGATGGTGCACTTCACTTCGTCTTTCGAACAGGTTTACCACAGAGCCTATTACGATGGGGATATTTCATGCTGAAAAAGAAGTTGCATCTATTCCCACTTCATAGGATATGATTGAGAGCCATACAAAGGATTGTCGCAGTTTGCGGGTACTGTCCCGATTTCGGAGCTTTTTGTTTGGGTTTACTAAAAATCACGAAAGAAACATCATCACCATGCTTCATCGAATTCATTGCATTGCAGACTGGTTTTTATACATGCCTCATGAAAACCAAGCCAAAAAACCACCAATGCAGTCAATATGGCTGAATAGCTGGCACGGCGTCCGGTGCTATTATTCCGTGATTCACGATCGTAAGCTTGTGCATCGCCGATGCAAGGGGTCCTGCGCAAGATCGTGAGCGAGCACCACTGTGGATCGGACAACCATGGTACCAGATAATTGTGCTCTTCACAATCGAATAATCCCCAATTCACCTACCTACTACGTAAGGGCGCCCGCGCGCAGTGCTCACTGCTACCTCATGTTTGACGTCATGATTGTGCTGATGCCCCTCGCAAGAGCCTACATCTGTCGATGATGGAATGATATTGCGAGCTGAGGTAATCCTCCAGAGGACTTGACTTTAAAACAATTCCCGACCATTGTTCACACTCTTGACTTTCAATATTCGCCGTTGATACTATCCTGGAACAATCACACACATCAACTCAACCATGTCTTTCTCCAATACTTCCACCGGCGACAAGCCCGCCGACCCTTACAAGCAGGCGAACGCTGAAGAGCCCGACCTGAAGACCAAGATCGATGAGCTCGTGGAGTTCATGACTAGAACCAAGTTTGGCATGATGACCACTCACGATTCATCAAGCCAGAACCTGGTGTCGCGCGCCATGGCCCTTGCCGCCACTGTTTGTCAACCAAGACCCTCACCCGTTGAGCCGATACTGACAGACAATGAAGGAAACCCAGGGCATCGATCTTCTCTTCCACACCAACACCGAGTCTGGGAAGACCGACGACCTGAGCGCTGACCCGCACGTCAACATGTCCTTCATTGACTCCTCTGGCCAGTGGGCCTCGATCGCCGGCAACGCCAGCGTCGTGACGGACCGCGACTATGTCAAGAAGCACTACAGCCCTGCACTCAAGGCATGGCTAGGCGACCTGGGCGATGGCACTCACGATGGCTCTGAGAACGACCCTCGCATCGGTATCATCCGTATCAAGATGAGCACTGCCACGTATTCTGTTACACACAAGAACTTTGTCGCGCGTGCTGCCGAGGTGGCTACGGGCGCCGTGACGGGCAAGCCCGCGTCTGTAAACGCGTTGAGGGAGATTTCGGCTCAGGAGGTCGAGCAATGGAGGAAGGTGTCTTCTTGAGGACGAGACGATGTTATGAGTTTATGAGCCATGGCGCCCCTGGTAATCTCGCCTAATGAAAGGAACATTATTTGCTTGCCGTGCCCGTCTTGGCCATGCCGAGATGAAGTGCGGCTCTAGTTAAGATGTTGGCAAGTGCGTTGATGTTCTCAAATGGCGTGATGGTTTCTCTGACTTGCAGTGCGCTCGTATGTTGGTGTTCGTGGGACACTTGTAGTTTGGGGGAAAGTGTTGAAACGTTGGCGGCCGGTGCAAACGCCAATGATCCGCATCAAGAGCCGAGGAGGTGATGCCGGCACGCAACTAACTCATCAAGACCTCAACACTCACGAGGTTGATGAATCCTGTGCCTCATCAAGCTCTGGCTGGAGTTAATAAAATATTTGGAGCGTCTCTCCGTCACATACTTTGTGGTTCGAATCATGCGACGAGTTGTCCAGTCCTCGGGCCTCTGTCTCTGAGCCTGTCGTTATCGAGTTTCAGAACGGTTTAGCAAACCTATGAGGTAGTTCAAGCCCAGCTCATTCATCTTTCTGATGTAAATGAGGAGCTCGGGTGATAGTTGTTGATCAGATGTCAAAGGCATGGGAACACCAACATCTGCCATTCGTCGTCTCGCGACATTACAGTCCCCTCTGGCCGTGGACGATAAGCATCAGGTCATGAAGCTTTCGCTTATTATCTTATCCGAAACTCGCCCTCTGGTTTCTTATATCATACTCTGCTGAGTGTGTCCTGGTTTTAGATAGCTGACCCTCCTTCGCCAGGCGCCGTCTGGCGGACAGAGCCAACTCACATTTCCTGCATCTGGGTCGCTGATTGCCGCGTACATGCAGCACATGGATATCCCAATACCCAGAAGCACACTCCCTTACGTGCAACACTCTGCGAATGACGGGATGGTCGTTTGTGCCTTAACGCTGGTGGTGGTGGTGAGGGATGACAGTTGGTCACTTCACGGGCATTCATGTTGCTTCGGGCCTCACTGCCACATTCGACGATGTTTCAACAACTCTCGCCAAGAATTATAAATAGTTGATTGGCTTGACCAGCGACCCGACTCTGAGACCGGATCCTCTTCGCCTTTGTTTGGGTTAGGGGTCACGGGACAGCACTCAAAGTCACCCGCCATAATTCTCGCTCACATACACTGCCCTGATGCAGCTTGCAAGCTTTTCCCGTGGTAGGTCTTATGCAGCAAACATGATGAGATTCGAGGTTAGACACGGTTCGGAATTATCCAACATGATTAAAGATTTCAAAATCTGAGTAGAATATTACGCGGACCAAGGTTATTGCATCGAGTCGTCTGCCATGTGTCGATTTGTGAACGAGTTGCCACAACTTGGTCTAAAGCAGCCTGCGGCCGCTTACTTGATTATCCTCTCTGACTGACACCGTCATCCTGACCTTGAAGTTTCCGTCGGTATCATGTATGTCTAGTGCGCTTCGTCAAATGAAGGACACTTCTTCTCCAGGGCCGCCCAGGTGCAGCCGTTGACGGTTGGGGGCCGTGGCCCGTGGTCGGAGCTTCAAGCGGCAAGCCGCCTACAGCTGGTTAGTAGGTCAGGTACGTATGGCACACGTCGCCATACACGTCGGCCACGAGACCAGCAACACCGGCCCGGACTCGTAAACAGTTCCATCGGCAGTGGACTGTAGACGGATGTGCTTGGGGAGCGCTGCAATTCGATTTATATATTAGTCGAGCAAGGAAGGCTACGTACGAGAGACCCTTATTAGTTGTTTGAGAGGGTGCCCCACGGCCCCCACTCACACGAGCCACACCGCCGCTCCGCGTGGGAATCATCGGCCACAATGAGCAGCATCTCAAGACTCACCCTCATGATGTACTGGGCATGTTTGAGCGATACACTTGGATTCACCACGGGTTCGGATATCCAACTGGTCAACAAGACTACTTATCAAGCAAGCGGTTGCAGGCTGCTTGCTTGGTGTTAGTGAAAGGCTCCATCACAGAATTGCACACTATCATCCTGGCCGTCGTGTTGTCGCACATATGCACACCTCCGCGTGGAAATCAGCGGCCCCAACGAGCAGCACCTCATTGTTATTGATATTCCAAGCACGTCTATGTATGCCTGAAGAATGAAATCTTATGTGTCGGGACTCAAACTTTAAAGTCTCGGTCTCTCAGTCTCGGGCAGTTTGTGTCAGTTTGTCAGACTTGGGTTGTCAACCGCCCTACCTGGTATGCATCAAGTCAATCAGCCACGACCCCTCAGTTGATGTCTCAGGCACCCGCTCGCGATAACTTCATTCTATTTGCGGTCCTGTGGTGAATACGTACGTACTTGGTACTAGTTCTGAACTTCTTAGTTCTTCATGTACCTATTATTGAACTGACCCCCCCCACCCCCAATTCTCAATCCATAGTACCTACTAGTTCAAGCTCCTATGACCCCACTCTCATTACTACGTAGTAGTTCAAGTTCATTGTTCATTGTTCAACAAGCCCAAGTGCAGTTCAAGTTTGTGTATAACAACTCCAATAAATAATTCAAACTGTTGTGGCCCCACGCTCAACATTTCAAGTTCATTGTTCATTGGTCTCAATAAGTCCAAGCTCATTACAAGTTTGTGTGAAACAAGCCCTGCCCGGTGACTGGTCAGGCTGCACCCTGGATCCACAACACCAATGTCTACTTATATTCTCCCGCGTTCACCTTTCTCTTCTCCTCTTCCTTCTTTTCTTCGCATCTGCACCTTCTCCTGGGAACCAACCTTGAACAGCTTCTTTCCTGACGATGGTGCGTGATTCTCTGTTTTAGAATTCTACCATGTCCTTTAAAGACAGTGCATGGAAGGACGTTATAACAGAGAATCTCGCACTATCGTCAGGGGAGAGGCTGGTCAAGGCCCGGAGAAGGCTGTTCAGAGAATCACGCACCATCGTCCTCCCACGTTGTCCCATTCAATGGCGACATTGCCAACCAGAAAATCCGGCGCTACGCTGCAGATGCACACCTAGAAGGTAGGAGGACTCAAGTGTCTCAACCAATCGTCAAGGACGTCACTAACAAGAAAAGGCTCTTGCCTGGGTTGCTTCTGATGATCAGCTCGGCATTCCGGCACTGCGCGCTCGTATCCAAGGGCTCCCTATGAGCCCCACAAAGAGCGAGATCCCTTAGATGAAGGACGGAATCTCCGCCCGCCTGAAGTCCAAAAAGCAGCTTCTGGAAGCGATAGGTGCATCTCACTCCACCCCAGATGTTGATTGACCGCTAACATGACCAGCTCTCGCATGCAGGCGCTCCTCACGAGCCGCACGAAGAGCGAGATTCCCAAAGTGAAGGACGGAATCTCCGCCCGCCCTGCGAGCACCCCAGCAGCGTGCCCTTCCCTGACGCGGATGAGGATGCAGAAAGCAGTGGAAGCGCCCAAACATGACACCGCCGCTCCACATCAGGGAAGATCTGGACCTCAGAATCGGGCGATTTTCTACAACCGTGCGAGCACCACCTCCTTGATCCACCTCCTTGATCTTCCCTGACGCGGATGAGGATGCAGAAAGCAGTGGAAGCGCCCAAACATGACACCGCCGCTCCACATCAGGGAAGATCTGGACCTCAGAATCGGGC